CTCTTTGTGAGCCCATGAACCTGCCTGGCTCCTCTGTCTGTGGGATTCTCCAGTAAAGAAAACTGGAGTGAGTTGCATGCTCTCCTCCAGGGAATCTTCCTGACCCAGAGGTTGAACCCACATCTCTTACATCTCCTCCATTGGCAGGTAGGTTCTTTACAGCTCGTGCCATCTGGGAAGCCCAGAGATTATGTTTACCCTGAAACAATTCAATGATCATTAATTTTATGAAATATTTTTCACAAACACATTAAAAGAGGAATGCTGTTTTGTGGGAATTGTAAATTAAGGAGAAATAGTAGGTTGAGGTGGAGAAGGCAAAGGCACCCCACTCCAGTACTCTTGCCTGGAAAATCCCATGGAGGGAGGAGCCTGGTAGGCTGTAGTCCATGGGGTCGTGAAGACTCAGACATGACTGAGCGATTTCACTTTCACTTTTCACTTTTCACTTTTATGCATTGGAGAAGGAAATGGCAACCCACTCGAGTGTTCTCGCCTGGAGAATCCCAGGGATGGGGTCACACAGAGTCGGACACGACTGAAGTGACTTAGCAGTAGCAGTAGGTTGAGGAGAGAATTAGATGTGTACAACTTTAAACTCAGACAACACATAAAGAATGAAGAGTCTAAGGCTGTACACAGTGGAGCAATGGAGTTTTCAATAAATGCACTTCATAAATGTTATTTGATTACCTGCAATATATAAGGCAGGTACTAAAGTACTTGTATTCCCAAGTACATTGGAAGTAAAAATTTTACTTCCTTGTCAAAGCCTTGACTAATGGAGATAGTAAGATGCAGTGGATTGCATTCGCTGTCAGCTAGGCTATGGCTAAGCTATGTTGCCCAGTTTTTATGTCAACAGCTAATCTGATAGAGAATGGGCAAACAACAGAGTCTTACTGTATGACACAGGGAACTATATCAGTATCCTGTAATAGACCATAATGGAAAAGAATATGAAAAAGAATACATATATATATATAAGTGAATCACTTTGCTGTCCAACAGAACTGATATAATATTATAGATCAACTATATTTGAATAAAATAATAAAAAACTAGTCTGGTACATATACACCATGGAATATTACTCAGCCATTAAAAAGAATTCATTTGAATCAGTTCTAATGAGATGGATGAAACTGAAGCCCATTATAGAGTGAAGTAAGCCAGAAAGATAAAGAACATTACAGAGTATACTAACACATATATATGGA